GAGAGAGAGAGAGAGAGAGAGAGAGAGAGAAAAAGTTGGTATGGGCATGTGTGGCTGTTTTTGGGAAAAAAAGATTGTTTGAGGCCTTGACACAATCAACAAAACAAACTACACGTACCATGACCATAACTTGTGGGCGAAGTCAAGGTAAACACAACCAGAATAAAAGACTAAACAATAAAATAAAATAAAATAACAGGAAGGAGAGAAAATGTAACTTTTAAAGAAACGCTTTTCTCTTAAAAAATTTTTTTTGGGGTTTTTTGTTTGTTTTTTGTTTTTTTTTTTGGGGGGGAGGGGGGAGGGAGACGAGCAGAATGCAAATTAGGGAACATCGGATAGTTTTTCAGACAGAGACGTCAATTCTGTAAAAACTGGATCATACTCATAGACTGACTGACCCGTAACATCTACACCCGTCCCTCCTCCCTTTTCCCACTCTTCCTCATGCTATCCCTTTCTGCAATCTCTTACTCCGGCACGTCAGAGAGAGAGGGGTTTTTTGTTTTGCCGTTTGTTTTCAGAAGTGTTTTACGGTGCTCACAACTACATAAGGTCATATGAGTGCGTAATACACATAAAGCATTTTCAGCCTGGTAGGAATTACTTTCGTATTTTGCCCAGCTGGCGGCCGAAGCCTTCTCTTATCGATTTTAGGACCTTCGTGGGACCTTTAACTTTAACGGGCACAACTTGCACACGTACGGGAGGGACCTCCAAGAATTTTTCGGTCTTATCCGAGAATGTCAAGTGTTAGCTCTTAACTACCCTAAGATCAGGGGTGTGGCTGAAAGACAGCAGTGAGAAGGAGCCAATTAGTAGTAGTAGAAAGGCTGCAGAAAGAGTCTGGAGCCCAGAGGAGGGGGCAAAGGTGGAAAGGGGGGGGGGAGGGAGGAACGTGGAGAAGAAAGCAGTCAACAGAACATGGTAGGAGAGCAGGAAAGGAGGTGGAAGGAGAACATGATTATTTAGAGAAGAACATTTTTCGTCGCTGTCAGGTTTCGAACCTAGGACCTATTGAATGAGAGGTAAACACCATACTTCAAGAACACGAGAGCCCCCTGAGAGAATTTGAGTACAGAGTAAAGATATGTTTATAAAGAGAGAGAGAGAGGAGAGAGAGAGAGAGAGAGAGAGAGAGAGACTTGGGGGAAATGTGTGGATTAAGGACAAGCAGTTTTCTTTTCACAGTGCGTCTCCTCTAAAGCATAATTTGGCCAGATTTCACTTGGACTAGATTAGGACAATGCATGAAGTAACACAGAAAAGACATTTTATAAGAGAAGCAGGCACATCAACGCACCCATCAGAGGTACAGAGATGATTGAAAAACTATGGGCACCTAGGGAGACTAAAAAATGAAACTAGTTTTGTATAAAAAAAGGCTAAGGGCATTCTAACGCACTAAACACAGTTTCCTACTGCAGAAGAGGCGAGGCCTCAATAAGAACTGCGACTCATTTAAGTGAACTCGCTCCCCCCTCCCCCCGTCTCTCTCTTTCTCTCTCTCTCTCTCATTTAACACCCTACTAAACACACACTGTGCTACGAAAGTTATAACTCTTGATTCTCTGCCAGGACACCAGGCTGAGAGGACATGTTCCAGGAAGAAAGAAAAAACTAATTCGGGTCCCCATTTGAATCGGAACCTTGAACTTCTGCATAGAAAATTAGGTTTGTAACCACACCTTCTCTTCTTTACGAACCCCCCCCACCCCAAAAAGTCACTCTTGTTTCTTCAGAATATGGTTCTGAACAGGTACATCTATTCCAAGAAATAACTTCCCACACTTACATTAACAGTTCCAGGGTAAATTTTTTTGGGGACAACAACACTTGGCATTGAACAAAATAGAAAATAAAGTGAGGAAACTTTGCTGAACATAGTTTTTATTGCACAAATCAGATTCAAAGGGCAAACATTACAAACAATCATGGGCAATGAAAGACATCTCTATAGAAAAGCAGTGACTTAATAGATACAATGTATAGAAATTGTTGACAGTACAGAAAACAGGTCCTATTTTGATCTTACGCACACTTGACAAAATATAGTGGAGTCTAAGTGGTAGTGACAAATAGTGATTTCCTACTACAACAACTTTTGACAACATTCCTTTATGATACCTAGGCCTACAAAGTTCCTTTTAAGCAACTGGTAGAATTTGACATAATACTTGTACTTTTTCATTTACTTTGACAATGCCACTCCTGGGTTTTATCCTTCCTCTACAGGTGGATGTGGGGGGTTTTCTCACCTTGCTTTCACAGAAAAGCCTGGAAACTTTCACATACTACACATATTGACATCAATGGAATGCATGAGTATTATGGGGCAAAGCATATAAAATGAAATGCTGAACCAAGATAGCAAATTCCAGACTTGGTGTCATCAGAAAAAAGTATCAGATGAGAGAATGGAATATGCAGAACTGGGTATACTTGGTAAACAGTCTATACATTGTAATCAAATGATAATTAAGAACCCTTAAAATAAATAACAGGGAAATGCAGTTTTCAGGACTCGGTTAAAAATCCTCAGTAACTAACACCTTCATTCAGTTGTACCATGCAATATGACTTTATGACTTTGTGATATACGTGGATTCGTTTTCCCTTTTAATCTCTTCTACAGGATAAAGGTGAAAAGGTCAACAGAAAAAGACACAGACATTAATATCACAACTGGAAAACATTATAAGATACCTTAAACAGAGTGGAACATTCTTCCACATTTCTGTACCATACTTTCTTTACAGAAAAACAACATTCCTAATAAATGTTGCTATGAAATTACACAACAATGAATATTCAGATATTCCTTGCAAACCATATCTATCAGAACCATTTCACTATCTCTACTTTTAATGGTGGTCTCAAAGTACTTATCACATATACAAGACAAACATTATTATACTGTATTTATGCACAATAAAGTAAAATGAACTTGAGGTCTTCTTTATGCACAATATGTTTGGCTAAATGTAGTGCAGAGGATAAGTTAAATGAGTCCAAGTCATTTTAAGTACAGCGATCACGCTTGGGAAAAAAACGCAACGTTTTGAAAGTGTGAGCCATTCCTCTCACGCTGTCCTCTCTCAAACTTCTTAATCTCACTTTATGACCACTCATACAGTCTCAATCTGGTCTCTCACACTCATGACACATTAAAATTTGTAACAGTCTCATCATTAACCCTCACACAGTCGAACCTAAAAGATCTTTCTTATGTCTATTTTGACCTTTTATCATGTAGACTCACCTCTGACCTCACAAATTTTCATCTTGACTTCTTAAACAGTCTTACCATAATCTCACACACTCTGTCATCTCGACCTCTCACACCGTCTCATCTTGACCTTTCTCCATGACACTTTGAAGCCTTTGCATGCGAGCGTCCTGCACAGATACAGGATTGCCGGCAAAACTTCTGTGGTACAGCTGAATCAACTGCTGGTATTCATTCAAGGTGAACTGTGGGCCTTTCTCAGCGAGGGAGTTGAGAACATCCTAGAGGAAAGAATGAACACAATGGAAATTATGTAGGGGCCTATATATCTTTTTATAAAGACCAACATTAGGAACAGGGCCTACAGCCTCCATATGTATTTTTCCTATCACATGGGTTATAAACCGTATAATGCTCTTCAGTCTTTTATCTCTCTGTGGCATGAAGTGACAGAACCCTTTACCGTCTCAGAAAAGATGCTACAGAAGGCTACATTCCCGTTCCCTGTTTACCAGCAGGACTATGTCTGGCAAAAGTGCCAACTTTTAAATACATGACGTATGTAGCAGAGATTTGGACATTAACTACTTGTTACTACCCAACAAACATTCTCCCTTCCCTTTTTATTTGCATCAGACAATCAATGAATAATAGACTGATACCGAGAAAAAAACATTGAACCCCATAATAGACCAGACCCAGCTTACATCAGGGTTCAGATACAGCAGCTCGTAGAAGTGCCTTGCCCTGTCAAGATCCGACTCTCTGGTCAGGGTTATGTTGGTCAAGTTCTGCTGGATAGCCAAAATATTTCGGCACCTGTGGAGAAACAGAGTAGCTCTTAGCCTCCGAACTAAATGCTAATGTGAAATATAAGAAACACAATAACAGGCAAAGTGATGGTAAACTTTTGAAAAAAAGTCTCACTAACCAGTTCTACCAACCAAACCAACGACACTCAAAACTGTCAAAAAAATAATCACACTAATTTACTGAGAGAAATGGAAGGACATACAGGAGAGAGATCCGACTGGAAGAAAACTTAACTAAAATCCAAGGAAAGTACAGACACCCTCAAACTCAAAAGGTTACCACTAGCACCTGAACACAGCACATACCACAAGACTCAAACCAAAACGGGATCAACCCAGACAATCCATCAACACTACAAAATTGCTGAAAATTATTTCAAAAGCCTCAGCCCACACCACCTCCTTCCACAACTTCCTCCTCCGGCTCCTATACAAAAAAACACCCAGTCCTGCACAAAGGAACAACTCTACAACTGGGGTCACAAACCTTTTTCAAAGTGGGTTGGATAGCCGAGAGAATGCCGCGCAAGGGCTGGCTGTCTATTTTGTTCCGTGCAATACACTGAACACAATAAAATTAAAGCAACCAGGCTATTATTATCTTATCAATATACAAAATACAAAAATACATGAAAAAAAACTTGTACAACAATCAATGTATATATTCATGAAATATTCATGTGCGAGCAACCAATTTTGAAAAGGGAATCCTCATTTGTGGTAGGAAATGTGTTAAAGGAAAGATTTTGTCACACTGAAGCCGAGCAAGAGTGTGATACATTAGCTTAACATTTTCTGATCTATAAAAGCACATTTCACATGTACTGCAAAGTTCTATGAAATTATTAACCCTATCCGTACGCCCTGGGGTCATTTTGTACCCAAGCATTGTATTCTTCACATTTTAGTTTTAGAATACTTTTAGTTCGAAGATCTCTTTGAAACTTTCAGTATTTCTCAAAAAATCATTTTGACAGACTGCTATGCAAAGCGTACGGATTGGATTAACGAGTAAATTTCCTCTTTGGAAAGTGGTGGCACAGAGTTCCCCACTTCGTATGGATACGATAGTAAAACATGACGTACGGATAGGGTTAAATCCTTTTGGTGACTAAGTTATGAGCACTCTATCCAGATTTTTCCCCCTGCATGTTAGCATGGCAGTGGGCCAGACGAACTGACCTCACATGCTGGATCTGACACGCAGACTGTAGTTAAGTGATCCCTGCTATACAATATTACTTGGAGCAAAAGTAGACAAACCTAGAGGCTTCTAGATATACAACAACAGCAACAAAGACTATAACTCAATGTGTAAGACTTCAGTAGGGTAGGCATGTGTTGCAGCTTAAGGAAGCAGAAGACATAAATGGACTAAACAGATAAACACTCTTACATTTTCTTGATCCCATTTTCATTGATTTTCTTCAGAAACTGGACACTGGTAATCAAAATTGATGCCACCAGGTACCCCAAGCTCTCAAATATATACCTGTAAGATAAAAACATAAATACCACACCTTACCTAAAGGCCTCACAATGTCATATGAGTATTAAATAATTAGAACATAACACATAGTTGCAGGTGTAGAAAAAATAGATTTAGAAACAAACTGATATTTAAAGATAATTCTTTTCAAGCGTTTTGAACTTTCATTATGAAACTTGGAAACTAGCAGGTGAAAAAGGAAATAATCAATAAACCAACGGTGACACAGACACATACACGGGGGACAGACACACACACGCGCACACACACAGACCCACGCACCCCCCCCCCCCCACACACACATGCATGCACAGGCCCACACATGAGGGCATTTACAATGAGACATAAATAACATCTCGCAATTTTTCAGACGGATCGAAAGAATCTGCTCAACAACAAAGCAATGTACCAACTAAGACTTCCTGAGATATCAGTATATCAGCTAAGTGTACTGTTAAACTACGGATAGAGTTGCACTCACTTGAATTTCTTTGGCTGCAAACTTTGCGCCATCATCTCTTCCATGCCACTCAGGTCCTTATTTAGCTTCAAAACATTGGAATCTGGGTCCAGGTCATCTATGGGACCAGCGTAGTTGGACTGGAAAAACAGCATACACCATGAGATGGGTCAGTAGGCGAGATATTAACATTCTTTAAAATCTTTTCTATAAAAATAAAGCAATGGAAAACAATAAAAGACTACGTGAAGCACTTAAAAACTTCAAGAAAAACAAACAAGACTGCTCAGTGTAAGACTGTGCCATAAGCTATTTTGAAAAGTGAATCACAGAGTTTTACACTGAACATTTGACTTGCATTTTTTTCCAAAAACCTTCATTGCAGTACTCCTGCCTCCATTATTTGAGCAGCATTCTCAGGTGTCTTATGAAACAAGTTTCAACTTGACTTCTAAGACTCTTTATTTCATTTTTAAAAGTACATGTTTTTACGACCCCACCATCACAATTAAGATCACTTGGGAGGTGGGTTAACCATCCTTCCAGTCAGGGCCAACCCGGACTCTATAAAAATTCTCTCCACTTGGAAATCAAACTCGGGTCTCCTGCATGTGACAGCAAAGCACGTAACTGCTATACAACAGATACCAGTCCCAAGGTCCCAGACAAGAAATGCAAAACAAAACATAAATGTTTATGGCAAACTGACAATCAGTAAGGACGGAAAAGGATGGCATCACGGATATACAAGAACTGAAAATAATGAATTGGAAAGTACTGACCAGCAATGTGAGACATTTAGAAGCTTTATATAAGCTTTTCTATGAATGAGACCCTTGACAAAAAAAAGCACTATAACTTTCAAAATCTACTGTGGATTATCACAGCATCCCTTACTTAACAGGTTATTTGGTTATTATTCACACTTATTTCTAGACCATACCTGCTTCGCCACTGGCAACAAGTAATAGAAGCAGTGTACTCTGACTTCCAAGTGGAGAAGGAGAAGACAGATTTCTGCCAAATCCTTAAAGTCTTGCACAAGTGACTTCAGAGACCTGGGAAGAATAAAAAATGACAAAAGTTATAAACATGAAATAAAAATTTTAAAAATTATGAAAAATTATAATACAATTTTTATTATAAGACGTTCCCTTGAAAATCAAGCTCAAAGCCCTTTACACATAAAAAGTACAATTTTAATATCAATAAATGAAAATGGTGAACAAATAAAAATTCAACAATAAAAATTGTTAAAAGGTGACATAATTAAGGTCATGAAAAAAAGCAAAAGAGCCTGAGAAGATATTACTTTCAAACAACAGTTAAGATCATATACATTCTTTTAACAGTGATGAAGTGTCAACGATTTCTGATAAGATTATTCAAATACACTTTGACATAAGTAACAGTATGGAACTCAAACAACTTTGTTCAAACATATGAATAAAACTTACTCAAGAGTCTTTTCAGAAATAGGGGGCATCTCCTGTAATAAGAAGCAAAAAACATTAATTATATTTAGTAATTATTCAAAGACACAGAATTCAAATCACAATGATATATATCAGTCTTGAAACATAACTTGACCTTAAAATTAAAATTTATTATCTTTTTCTGCTCATATTCATCATTCTTTCCTGACAGAGCTTGACAGTGCTGTCAACCTGATTTATGATGATCGAATGGTAACATCATACTTTCGAAACTTATTTTTTTTTCTTTATATAAAATTCTTATCTCCAAGAATTTCTCTTGCTGTGCAGTGAGTTTGCACAATGAGTATTTACAAGATTATTAACGAAAGTGTAAGACATGATATGAGAAGTGAAAAATTCATGAACAGAATTGTGGGCCTGGAGTAACCAAATACTTCGGCCTCCATATTTCTAAAGACAAGCCAGTGAAGGAGTAACAATAGTTGAAAAGGCCTTTTCCTTAACTCTCAAGGACATCAAGAAAAAAGTGCCCAACAAAGAACTTTTTTTTAAGGTTTTGTAAAAGCAAGCATGACTCACAGTGGGAAGTTCCTCTTGAACTGGGTTTAGAGTGTCTTGTGGGGTCAGACTGGTGCAGAACTGGTTCAGGCGGTCGCCAAACCATTCCTGTCAGATGCAAACAGAGTCACAGTTAGTCATAACCTTGTATTTACTTAGTAAGTGATCTGCACATACATCTGACAAAAACAAGAAATTCGAATAGGACAAAAAGGGAACTCTCTCGACCTCCCATGTTGGATATACACATTTGTACACAAACAAATGTGCAGTTTCTTTTGAAGCCCCGTTCATACATACACGTGTGGTTTTCACCAGGGAAGTTGTACAACGGAAGGATGAACTCAAATCTATGACTGTATACAACTCAAGTGTGTTTTACCCTGTGGGGCAGTGCCCCTTGTTGTGCTATTCATAACATTAGACTAAACAGTTGTGGAACAAGATATAGGTGCCAAGGGCACACATTTACTGCTCCATACATTTTACACATTTCCCACTGAAAACAAAGCCTGGCTTGGAAACACTCACCAAGCTCTCATGCACATTTGCCACTGTACGCATCTGGGTGACATCTGTGATGATTTCCTGCTGGGGGATCAGTGACTCATCACTGGACAGATTGCTGATCAGAATCACAGCCTCCTTAGAGTTGAGAGCCCTGATCTCTTCCTCTGAGCATATAGTGCGATCTAGTTCTTTGCCTTGTCGAGGCTGGAGACTTCGCCAGCTGGGCAGTGACCTGATTAAAAAGCACAACACAACATTTTACTGAAGCCAGAGAGAAGCAAATAAAAACATTAATGATTATTTAACATGACTTAAAAGATGCAATCACCCCCCCCTTGCCCCCTAAACAACAAACCCTACAAATGTATTTCAATAAAGTCAAAAGCACTAAGCAACTCAAAATATAAGAAGAAAGCTATTTTAAATTCAAGACAAGGAATGAGACTATGAGCAGCTCAACGGGTAGAAAAGGAATTACCACAAATCAAACATTTTCCCCACAGCAGCCACTCAAAATGCAGACCTATCTGCAACATGTAACAACAAAAACTTGAAACAAAAACACCCCCCCCAAAAAAAAAAAATAACCAACAACTAGATTCTTAAGAAATCCTGTTTCTCAAGCTGATGTGGGCATGTAGAAAAGCTAAGTCTCTCATTTAAAAAGAAGTTTTCATTAGTAATAGAAAAAAAGCACAGTACTAAAAAAACTGTTTTAAAAAAGTATCAACAATTAACCAAACTTTATGCATTGTTTTGGTATATCATACTTCATTACAACCTCTAAAAAGGGGAAAAGTCCTCATGAACGTTATATATCCGTTTCTTCGCTCGCTTTTTTAATGGTTCGACACGGAGGGAAAACTAGGTGAAATACCAGACCACAGGCAGCCACGAAAAACTGGGGATACATGATATCAAGATAACCTCTGCTGTTTTCACTCTGGTGAACCCTGACTGCACCCTGCCAGCACTTGTGTGATGTTTGCGACCTGTAAATATATTACCTTTCCATACTGAACTTTTTACCGATAGCTTAGCCTTTAAACGTTTTGTATTGCCTCGTATGGTGGCAACAAGTAAGACTGTTTGCATTGAATCAAAGGTTATTGGCTATAATCCAGAAACAATCGGGACATTTGTCACAGTCTGGGTGAGGTTCAAGCCTCATCATTGGCAATGTCTCATTTTTACCTAAAAATCACAAGAAAATTGAAAGAACAGAAAAAAAAAACCCTACCAAAATGGGGTTAGGGTAAGCGGAGATAGACCAACAGACAGATGGAGAGAGAAAGAAAGACAGATAGCGACAGATGAAAAAGCAGCTAAAACATGAAAGACACTGACCTCAGGAACCTGCTGATGTCCTCATCCTTTGCCCACATTGAACTAATAATTCTTTTCTCATCAGATCCATGCTGGACGATATCTGCAAAGGTGAAAACATAGACCGGTGAGAAAGACTTCATCTTCATCAGATCTTTGTTAAACCAAAAATGTTTTTAATGCATGTTATTTCACGCTCCCATCAAAACCATTTAGATCATTTAGGAGGCGGCTTCAACCCTGCCTGTCAGGGTCAACCTTGGCTAAAAGGATACAGTATCCCAGCAGAAAGACAGAGATACTTGATAAAAATTTTCTCCACTGAGGAATTGAACTCGGGTCTCCAGTATGTGACAGTTAAGCACTTAACCGATACACCACAGATGACGGCTTGGTCTGTTGTGCCATACGTCTACTATATGTGATTTCATAAGCTTCTTGTTCAAACAGAACACAAAATGACTGGTGTTGCTTTTTGTTGCTAATGATCCAGTGACCTAAAGCCTTTCTCTCTCTGATCCACTGCCATATATTCTTCAATTGTTGCAAAGTTCCCCAGAGTGTATATACTGTTTCTAGTCTCGGGAGAAGAAGTACATCTCTGATGTCTTTTGGTGTTGCATAAGGGCTAACACACAAGGGAGCATATTGGAAGAGACTGTAGCTTGGCTCCATGAGAATAAATCATACAAGAACGTTTTTGTTTATACGTCAATTGGTGCTGAAGATTAGAGGTGTTACAAAGGAGTAACAAACACAAAAAAGAAGGAGAGATCTGGAAAATAGAGGTTTGATAGGAAAGAAGGACCACACCATACCACAGCTCCCGCTAATCACACATTGATTAAAATTTGGTAATAAACCAGAAATTTAAAACTACCTCTGTAAGCAGAATGACACTTGTCCCTGTAGTCCCTCAAAACATTGCATATCATGTTAAGAAACTGGTCGGCGTAGTCAGGCAGATCATGCATCAGTTCTTGTAGCTCCTGAATGCTGTTGTCCACAGTCACTGTGCTCTGGAAGGATAGGGAGGGACATACATGATGTCAAACCGATAAACTTGAGGGTTTCATAACACCTGGCTTATGTTTGTCTGTTGGAGTAAACTGTAGCAAATGGACACAATAATGGTCATTTAGTGCTGGGAAAGTCAGACAGACGGACAGAATCAACAGAGAAATAAAGCAGGATCTACCAGTGGCACCCTCCAACCACCCACCACCTAGCTAACCAATTTGCTTAAAGAGAAGAAAGAAATGGGGGGGGGGGGGATTGGGTAACTGATATAGAATTAAGTATTGTATGCCACAGTGGTTCAACAAATAAAACTAGTCACTGAATGGCAATCCAAACAAAATTAAACTTTGAGACTTTTGTGGTTTTGAGTATACACCAAGTGCCTTCCAACACGTTGAACATACTGTATCTTAAAAGCCTCCTCAAGACAAAGTGTGAAGTCTTCAAAAACTGCCCAATTCTATATATAAAGATCATCCTGTTTGCCCAGTTAGAGTGGAGCAAATTGACACAATAACAGTTATTCAATCTGACAAAGGAAAGACAGACAGACCAAATCTAGAGGTACAGTATAACAAAAAATATTTTAAAAAGCAGCATCTACCACTGCCGAAGGGTAGAAGACTCCAGACACCAACAGCACAGTGACGTGTTTTAACAACAGAGCCAACAAAATGCATCCACACAATAAGAACAGCATTACCTGTAGTAGTGGTCTTGGAACTCCAAGTTCCCGTTTGGTCTTTTCGTCTATGACATTTCTAAGGGCATCAAAACCTGAAAAAGGCATATATACATTGATGAGTATTCACAAGAGTAATATTTTTCTCTTTTTAGTATTAGTAGAGTTTTAGCAACCTTTTTAACTATATTTTTCAAAATGTCATATTAATTCTTTTAAAGCAGGGAAAAGGGTAGAGTGGCAAATGAGTTGTTTTCTCATTTATTTTAAAAAGACTCTGGAAATGGGAGAATGTAGCAGTGGTTTCTGAGTTTAACATTTTGGACATATTATCCCAGAAGCCCAGTGGGAAACCGGGTATCTAAATCAGTTAAGACAAATATTTGGAATCAAATTACAACACACACATCCCAAATGACTACAATACAATGATATTTCTTTTTTCAGAGATGAAGATTCTCCATCAGCACAGAAAAAGGTTTTGTAAGGAGACATCTTTTATCACTCACTCTGTATACAGTATCTTTTCCATCAAAAGGAATACAACAATATTTCTGCAGTCAACACACTCTTTACAATGGCCAATGGATTTCTCTGTCACTTTAAAATGTCAGCCCAAACATATCTTTCCTATCCTTAAAATGATTGGGGATCAAAATGACATCATCAAACGCAGTGCTAGTCTCGCTACAACTAGAACACTCTTCAAGGAAAGCCTTCTTAGTATACTGTCCCAATGAGAAAAGCTATTCTTAATTTGGGAATATATCACAATTTTTCATTAAGCAGTATTTTCATTAACAACAGAGACAATGGTAATAAAGAATAAACAGGAGAACGTATGATCCTGATTTTTTTCTGTTCTAAGAACACAATTATTACTCTAATTGTGCAGGTGGAAGTCAATAGCTGCAGACAATTCAAGGCATCTAGACTAGAGAAAAGAACAGTACTTCCTCATGATTTCAAATGTATTAGATTTGAAGTTAGTTTTTGTCTCATCCATACCTATGCATCACCTTCAACATAAAAATATAATTTAGGAATTACAGGCTTTTTTTTTAACTTCAAAGAACAGACATTCTTGCTATATATACATGCAAATATGGAAGTGTCTGTGTTCAACATTGAAATAATACAAAAAAAACACTCATAATGTATTTGCACTTACAAAAACAATGTAAGAACAGCAAGTACCATCTTATTCAGCTCAAAACATAAACACACTGAAGTCGAACAAGAAAAGAGCACAATCACGATCAGCACAACAAGGAAAACACCCATACCACTGACAAAACATTCTCACATTAAATATGTAACAACACCGTATTAAAACAAGGCACTGACGTCTGTGGAAGTAAGCTAAGACCATTTGTTCTAAACTGCAAGAGATACGGCACAGAAGTATGTCTAGCTGTAAGACATAAACGCCAGTACATATTCTAGCTGTGATAAGGATTACTTTGACAGTTTTAACAGCAGCAGAGAGTGGTTTTGCTTGAAATCTCTTCTTTACAAACATGTACCTTGGTGAGGAAAATATTCCTTTCCAAAAAATTTAAAGACCTTTGTGTTATTACAGCTAGACATTTATTTTTGTATGGAACAGGCTGCTTTACACATCAAAAGCTCATTCTGTTTTGAACTTAAGACGATGGGGCTAGGAACACTTGTTTCTATGAATAATGGCAGGATTATGCTTTATGTTATCCATTATCTGGCAGTAATTTAATGTCCCCCCCTGTCCCTCACGACATGATCAGTAAACTGCAGATGGTAGAAATTCATGCAGCAAGGTTCAATACTAAAGGATAAAGCAAAAAAGAAAACCTGTTTCAACAATCTGAATTCCTAAAATACTTCATTGGGCAGTAGTTGATGCAAGAATGGAGTCTACAAATATCGTTTTTGATCATTGCGTAATTGCTCATCAGAACAAAAATGTCTTCACAAATGGAAGAAACAAAACAAAAAAACTACCAGTAGACAGCTTTTAATTTAACTGAGTTTAGTGGGAGAAACAAGTTGTGAAACATGAATAATAGTTTTTAGAAAGAAGGTCAAAGATAATAAATCATCTTGAGTCAGATGGGATTTTTTAAAGCTGTTAAAGCTTTCTTTATATTCACCAAGTAAAGCTTTCAAAGCAAAAATCCCACTTATTGAGGCAACCCTTGAGCCTGCCTATGAAAGCCCTATAATAAAATTCAACATCCATATGATTATTTAGGGTTAATCATTATTTGAAATTCCTGCACAAAACACCAAAACAAATTTTGAAAATTTTTAGTCTACAGAGACACACACACACAAATTTTAATTTCACTTCCACATGTATGAGTAAAGAGAAGCACATTGACAGGCGGCTGACACTGTGTGCTGGAAAAGATCAAGACAGACAGATAATATAGACAGTAGAGGGAGAGCGAAAAAGTAGGACCTACCAAACCAGCCACTTTCATGAGAAACAAACTGAAATTATGAAAAAGTGTTAACTTGGTGCTGCTGAGTGGTGTTTCACATTAAATTCCAACACTGAAAGCCACAATCTGCTAAACAGTTGTGTAACCATAAACATTCTAAAACTTAATTCAACAAAAGAGTGAAGTGAAAGATCTGACTGTAATCCCACCAAACATAAACACACAATCCAACCCATCTATGATTTAGAACTTATTAAAGACTAATAAAACAAAAGACTTTGAGACTGGCTTTTTTACCCACAGGATTCTCCATCCGATAATTCTATAAATTTTAAACACCCGTAGTCTGAGAGTAGACATGTAAGCCAGAGAGCATGATAACAGGCCACATTTAACCAGTAACAAAGAACAAAGGAAACACTGAAAAAGGTAGGATCAGGCCATCCTGGAGTGCCCACCAAAAAAGAAGTCTAATGAAGCATATCATTCCTACAGGACAAATAAAAGTTACTGGCATCCTTTTGCCAAATCTAGCATAAATTGAGGGGTCGCTGAAAAGAGCACTCCCCTCTTCTAACAAGGCACTGCAAACAAATACAACATCAACAAGACAAAGATTTGTTCAAAAAGACTTGCAGACTAAGAAATTTATAAAGTAATAAACAAAATATTGTAAGCTGCCAGAGATAATATACACAAAAAGCAGTAGAAAATACAACTTGCAGCAAACAGATTACACCAAGTGGAGGAAAGTACAAAAGAAGGAACAGATCAGTGGAAACAACAGCAGCCTTGAGCAGACTGTTCTCATATGTCAACATCAAAACATCAAATATTTGTGTGAAATAGGCGAACAACGTGGCTAACAACGTGGCTAACAACGTGGTACTCATCACTCACACTTGTGCCCATCTTCTTCTTCCTCCACTGAACGTACGTTATTCAACAGAAAAGATAGAAATTTACGTTGGGAAAGCATGAAAATAACATTTTGAAAGGCGAAGTTTTTGTTTTATTCTAGGATGTCATCCCAGCGAGCAGATTCGACCTTTCCCATATTAGAATGAATATATCTATGAAAATTATTCCAGTCATGAAATTAACTACAATAGGAAAGCAACCAGTGATGGAGGAAATGTCAGCTGGTAAACAGTAATCAAGTGCATAAGACATTTTCATGTTAGTAAATACAACCACTTTAATATTACAGTGTACCACAATCCATAGAGGCACGTTGGTTTATTGTATCATTTCTGATAGGCTAATCATACCCTCCTAAACAATGTTCAAACAGGTTTTACTCATCTTTCATCAAGTGATTTAAAAAGAGAACATTTTAATGTGTAGCATGTAGATTCCTCACGCATAATTAATGACATAAGGTTAAAATTTATAGTCTTTTATGGACATCTATTTCTTGAACACAGTGATGGCTGGGGTGCTTCAAATACTGACTTTCAGATTAAAGTGAAAAATGTCCTGTTAATCACTGCCTTTTAGTGCAGACACATGCACAACCCTTGCCTATTCAAGAGAGAAGAACATATGAGAGGAAAATATCAGAAGTCTTCATACAGGAGAGGCTCAACAGTAACATTCTTTGACATCAGTATGTTCAACAGGTCATTCTGTGAAGGTAGCAGTTAGTAAAGCCATTGAATTTCTACTGCTAGTAATGCCAGCAGGGAAGAGCACTTGCATACGGCCCAGAGTACATTAGGAAAGCATGGGGTTCCAGCAGTTCATACATATGTCATTGAAGTCCCATCCAAGAGCGAGAAAAAAGGGCGCGCTAGACCCTCAAGACTAAATCTCTCCAAACATACATTTATTACCCCCAAAAAAGTCATTTAGGGCAGATACTTCCAGCACCTTGTATAGAGTAGTGCAGAACACGAAGCAAAGGATTTGATAGAGGGCATCATATATATTGTAGATATGTACAATAAGCCACACTACTTGACTGTAAAATACTATTTTTATTCCATCTCATTTACAGTTAGATTTCAACTTGAATTAATGTTATGTTGGCAGGGCATGCTATTGAACAATATTTAATTCTCACAAGTGTTAGAATGATACAACAGCTAAGATGTTAGCATAGTCTGTTGGAGGTTATTTTACTGTGTATAATCCAGTCGACAAGGTTATCCCATATATCATCCATCTGGTGGTCATCAACTATCTCAACTTATGTTCTACAGACAGGAATGAGGACCACCTGATGCTCCAAATAAAAACTAAATTAAAAGTATAAATTTTGCTATCAGCAGCTTCTCCTGAGAAGTTCACACTCAGAGAATGTTAGATAGATGTGCATTTTTCAAAAGCATCTCTCTGTTTATTCATTCTTAGCATGTTATTCAAACTAAAAGAACAAGTTTAAAAGCAGCATAATAGAACAAAAAGTATCAGAAGAAGAGAATGAAATCATTGGCAGAATAGCACTCCTTGGAAATTGTTATTGTTGTATATTGTTTGGTTACTGTGTAAGTTCTACATTTTAACCAAAAAGAAAGTTATTATACATTGATTATTCTGGCTGCATCAGAGAAGAGGTCAAAAGTTTGCTTTTTCTGCCATTTACAAAGGAGTAATTTAAAAAAAATTTTATGCAAATTCTCAAATTATTTCTTATGCTCAAAGGAAAAATTACAACCCATAAACACAAGTTTGCGAAAGAGAATTGTTTCAGCCTCAGCAACCTCTTCCCCTACCCCAGTCTAGCTACCAAGGAGAGAAGGATTAGGATACTACACTTTACAAGTTGGACACTATTACATGTTATTTATAAAGTCCTCAAGCCGGTCATTAAATATTACTGCGCAAAGACAAGATAAGAATGGAAACAAAGTCTGTGCATTCACCTATAGATGAAAGCCTATGTCTAGTGCCTGAACTGATATCTGAAAAAGTAACAGCCAAACAAAAGGTTAAAATTCAGCAATAGTTTACAGAGTTAATGGGAAGATTCAGCCCAATGCTTCATTGCTCAACAAATGCAAAGCTGAGATGGATTTCCCTGACTGCAGTCATTCTCTGTGAACATACAAATCCACTTAGGCTTGAGTCTTAGTCACAAGGTACTTTACTGAGCAGTCACCAGTAAGAAGTCACTTGTCTTAAAAGAATTGTTACCATGCAGCTCATTATTACAGCCATTCTTAGATAGCGTACTGCATTGGAAAAGTGATGACTTAACAAACAAAAGTCAAAATCAAAAGCCTTAGTATGAGTACTGATTTGCATGTTCATTCTCTCAGGGTCGAAATGTCACTCATGTCACTTACTAAGAGGTTCTTCATCATCTTTATCTAGTACTGAATAAGTAAAAAAACACATGAAATATAAAACACATTACAATTTCCAAAGTCACATAACATATATCAGTTACAAAAAGAAAGAAAGCTTTGTAATGAATTTACTTTCCTTAATTTTGTCCAAGAGCAAGATTTATGAATCCTAACCTTAGACAAAAAAAAGTACCGATGTATCACCAAAAAATACAATAGGCCTACAGTGGTCTCAAACAAAGCACACCCTGCTAAAGAACCTGGCTCACGTAACAGCCCACTTTTTCCTTGTAATGGATTGTGTCTCTACAATTATCATGAGTAAGAACCCGTTCTAAAAATGTAAATCTGTACCAGGGCGATAAGTCAGTTAAGAGTAAATAAGCATGGATACCCAGAAATTAACCAATAGGAGTCCTGGGGCCCAATGAAATTCAAAGAACCTAACCTTCCTTAAAACCCACTTTTTTTGGTCCTCCTGATGACTGGATACTTAAATGAAGACCATTGTTCATGTTTCTTTACCAATAGAGGCACAAAGTTGGAGGTATACTTTTATGATCATTCAGTTTTTTTAATCAAATTCCCTGTCTATCTACTTCATAAAAGCAAAAATTAATTACACGTAAGAATAAACATTTTCAAGGACTTTTGCTTTTTTATTAAAATCACAAAATTGTCAGAATGGTACAAATCTGACCACATAACTCTCTGAGAGTGAACTCAAAAGATTTTAGGACATGAAATATCATTTTGCAGCACATTTCGGGGGATTAAGAGGAAAAGATTTCAAAGATGTTCGTCTGATAAGTCTTTGCAAGTCTCCACAACCAAGTGCCTGGCTCCTGTAAGATAATGTTGTAATAAACCAGGCTTAAAAGAAGTCAATGAGGATTAATATTGTTTAAAACTAGGTTCATCATTTTCTCACAAAGTTGCCTTATACAATTCCTGAAGGTGTGGTTAGTTTCCAAATCCATGGAGCGGCAAGAACTTGAAACTATCTTAGCAAGAAAACAAGGCAAAATTGGAATCTAGAAGACAATAAGTTTACAAAGAAAGAACATGAATACATTTATCTTTGTGGACACTGCTTACCTCTGGTAGCAGCATCAATATTTTCAGACACTCTGGCATGGACTTGACCCAGGAAAGCATTTTGAACGAACTCAGTGATAAATTCTTGCAGTCTGCAATATGCCATTCAAAACAGCAAGATTAATTATGATGTTCCACATACATATGGAATAGCAATTTTAATGCACATACAACACTCCATAGTCTTATATCAAAATAATCAATCTTACTCTAAGTACAGCTGACACAATATGAAAAATGGAAAAGGAAACCAGATAAAAATATTGGAGAAAGTTGCATCTTCAATTGGACGCCCCTCTAGTTTAACTGAAGAAAGAAAAAAAAATCCCACGAGCAAGTGAAAAAGACAATATTGTCTGGTATAAAATAATTTCTAATATGTGGAAACTCAACAGCACTTAAAACTTACCCGGAGGTGGTTTCCATTATCGCCTCAACTTCTTCAATAAACGATCGAAGGGGTTTGTAAATAGCTGGGCATGAAATAAAGACAGCACAAATGAAATCATCACTTCAAAAAATGCATTTTACTTGCACAGCATTAACAAAAGACCACATTCTTAGAATTTGACACAGTTTCAAAACACAAAATCAATATTTTAGTTAGATAACCTCGAGTAAAAAGATAAACACAATGTTATATATTTCATCATACCCTGATTTTAGTTTTCATAGTTTTACGGCACTTGTAACACAATAATCTCACATAAGAGCCGAAGAATAGAAGTGTTACAAGAGAGTAACATACACAAAAAAGAAGGAGGAGAGATAAGAATGATAGAAGTTTGATAGGAAAGAAGGAGCAAACCACACCAGAGCACCCACCAACCACCCACCATAACGTGATGTTCATGAACTGCCTCATTAAGCGCTCATAATACAGACTATCTAGATACAATTATAAACTTCTGTGAAATAAAGCGGAGTCTAAAGAACATTGTAGAAGAACAAAGTATAAAATGAACTAAATGCTGTGCCTCTGTTTCAATATTATTCATATCTTTACAGACGTAAGATAACTCAACTTACCTGTTATGTTAAAAGCTCCTGGCTTGCAAACTTTTACTATGAGCCAGTTGTCTGACTGACCAAGGGAATCCTGTGAGGGGATATAAGACAACACATCTTGCACAATAGGGTTGGTAATACAACATTTACCATGGAAAAAAAAAAGTGAAAAGTCGTCCTGCTGGAGCAGGGTTTATGTCGCCCAATAAGCCTATTTCGGCACCTCGCCTACGTTCTGGTCCCGAGTCAGTTTAGCCCCTGGCTCAGCGCACGCGCAGCGCGCATCATCTTACGTGTCATTTGGGTCCCGAGTCCGACCCCCATTCACGCAGGTCAAGTGTGTGTGCGTCAGTCTGCTTGAGTTTGTGTGCGTTTGTGGCCTTCTTCTAGAACCGCCTGCGTTGGTTCGTAATCGAGGCATGCGTCTCATTCAAAACATGCCAAGTTGGTAGCTCTAGATGTTCGTCCAATGAAATTATAGAACAAATTGACTCATTTAGACATGAGGAGCTCGAAAGGATCGTCAGGAAACAAGACTTCCATTTTTCTATACAAAATCTTTCAAATGAGCTTGATTTTGTATGAAATCATACTACCTGATAAAAAATAAGCTTGTTTGATAGTTTTGAAAACCATTGTGCAGGTTCAAAGAACAGTTTGAGTGTAAAACATTCGGAAATTGACCTATATTATCCCCTTTTAAACCTCAGGTCATTCATAACAACAAGAGCGTCCAGAAAGGTTATTCGAATGAGCATAACTACTCTAATGTCTTATCAGCTTGTGACAGGGGGTTATTCATGTGTTTGTAACACTTTATAAATAGAAAGCTATGAAAGATAGAGCGTTATTAACACACTCCCGCGGTATTCATGGCGAAAACACACGTTTCCCGGCGCGCAGTACACACTGAGTGACCCCGGCGGCCTGCCCGGCACGTCCAACGTAATTGGTTGCTGATAAGATTCACATCTCGGCACAGACGCAGGACAAGAGTTAAGTTGTAAATCACAAGATTATGACACCTAACAGAGACCACCCTTCAAAAAGGAAGGTTTACTTCAGAGATAAAATATGAGCTTTTTATTATTTAGTAGAGGTTTTACGGCGCTCGCAACTGCATAAGGTTATAAGAGCGCCAAGGGGTGGATGTCAACAGAGAAGTCTTTACAGGGAATCGGGCTTACTCTGCTCACCTCTCTAGCTTCAACCGCACAAAGTCTGTTCCGACTTTCAAGGCACCCCGGAAATAGCAGTTCACAAAAGAGTGACAAAATACAAAAGAAGTAGAGGAAAAATGACGATAGTCAGGGTTAGGAAAGAAAAAGCAGCAGTTCCCTGTTGTAGTTCAGGCACAGTTATGAGCATGACATTGATGAATCAACCCATTTACAATTCTACTATGCATAAGAACGAGAAATGTCCCCCCTTTGGGAATGGCCTAAAGACACTTCAGTCAGTGGCACTGCCCGGGGGGGGGGGGGGGGGGTCATGAGCTTATGAGCTTAAGCATACAGCAAATCAGTAAGGTAACACCCATACTGTGTCAGGAACAGACGGTAATTTACACTATAATAGAGAACCTGTCAAGAAACCACAAACCAAGTACACAGACTCAGGGCCCAGAAGTGGGAGCAGACAAGGCACAAGTCATCAATACCATACCCAAACAACAACAAACAACAGTTTGAGCAGCATGGCAAGGCAAACCTAAAATTAGAAGCCCACAAAGTAAACTTGAAGTGTGAATAACTAGAACAAGTAACCAACATACAACATAATACATGATTATGTTTTATGTACTGATTATTTTGTGAACTGCTGCGGCAGATAATCTAAAAAATTAACACACTTACATGTTCAAACTGTTGAATCTGTTGTCTTGCACTGCTGACACTTATAGCATGTTGAGATGCATCAAATCTGAACAAAGAGACCTGGAACAGTACAGCATGTACAGGTGAAATAATGTATTCCAGGCTTGACCTGAAAATTTCTTGTTTAAAATTTCACAATTCACAAAATCTGTACACAAATACCAAGGCTGAAGTTACCCTTATCCTTAAATACCTTTACCCAAATCTTGAAAGCTTCCTTGCAGTATGGACCATAATATCACAAAAACGATATTCTTGAACGTCTGTACTTTTTGTTTGCTGAGATAATCAGTGAGTAGTGGATTGAAGTAGGAAGAAAGGGATATGGAAGCTCGCACGCCCATATGTGCATATGAGGGTGTGTGTGTGTGTGTGTGAGAGTGTGAGTGTCGGGGGTGGGGGGTGGGGGGGGGGGGGGGGAGCAATCGTCCATGGACATCAAAACCGACATGTACCTATGAAAAAGCTTGTGCTCTCACTATAGCTGACTATGTTGCATTCTCGAGTGAGAAAAAACTATCCCTTTTTGTCATTTTCCTTTATTCTCACAATATACATTGTAAATAGAGTTTGGATCATTAAAATCTTGAGAAAAGTGAATGTTACAGAGAAAATGAAATAAATGTTTTACACAGGTACGTTCAAGACGTAGCTTTTTAAAGAGAAAAAATACTAAATGGGACTCCAGACTTCGGAAACTCAACCTTACAGCTGAGAATACGTTTTAAGCCGAGAACATTACACAAGGTTTTACTGTACCATGTAGCTAAGTGACAAGGAAATGAGGCAGGACACTGTTATTACCTTTTTGGGTCTTGCAGGTTTCTTCTTGCTGAAGTACTGGCTGATGTCCATGCTTGGTTCATCAAAACCTGTGGGCGCCTGCTGTCTAGACGACATCGTGTTCTTCACATCCAAGTACTGACTCAGCAAAATCTGAAGCTAAAGTTGAGCATGGAAAGTTTAATCAAAACAATCTGCTTAGAAATGATACTTTAACATCTTGAGGACACGTTGTTGGACTAGGAACAATACAATCTTTAAAGAAAAGTATCTACATAAAATTAGACAGTAAAATGTTATCTGTAGAAAATATCATGTTTGAGCTTATGCAACCTGCAACCTTGTATGAGAGACTATCTAACATCGATCCTGCAACATTGATAAACTGCAAGCTTATACTGTTGAATGACATCAAGGGTGGTCACCTATGCATTGTGCTTAAGACAAAGTATAAATAGCCTCTGAGACAAAAATACACCCATAGCAACCCAAGAAAGAAAATTTACCTATTCTCTACACTTCTTTCACAACACAGAAATGTCTCAATGACAGAGACATGTTGGACTAAGAGGGCAAAATCAAATTTCACAGAATGAGCTCAGAGAGCAAAAAATTGTCAAGAGATCAATAAAACATTAATAGTTCAATTAATCCCCTCAACAACAATATGGACCTGATACAACAGTTGAAAATTTCCGGTTGAAGACAGGAACCTAGGCCTAACCCTCTAAACAGAAAATTGAAGCAAAACTAAACCAGTTAATCAGTAGCATTCAGATACTAGTTACAAATACATAGGCCTACAGAATGATGAAAGGACAAAAAATACATTTTTAAAATTGATGTTTACAGAACTAAACAAAATAATTGTCATGAGACTCTTCATTTCTTTGAAAGTTACAAAAAAGAAACAGAGAAAACAACAGAAACCATGAAGCTTACCCTTGCTTGTATTTCTGACCAGACATCTTTCATATCATACAGGACATTCCCATGCAAGGGCATACCAGAACTCTGAAAAGAAACAATGACTCTGAACCAAGCTCAGTTTATCTTTTCCTGAAGAACAATGTCCATCTTAACTAATTTTAAAAGAAAAAAAAATCAACAACAAAAGACAGTCTTAAAATGAAAAATATATATTCTGATCAGTCCTATTTATAAACGAAACAGTTATTTCAGTCTGACATTTTAATTATTTCGCTGAAAAACCTGAGCAATTCAAGACTTAAAAGTAATAAAAAGTTATAAAGTCTATAAAATCATTCACATAATGAAACATACATCTATCTATTAAACTATGTCCTGGTGCTAATCAAGTTCTTCTGAAAAAGAAACAATAAACATGTTTATCTTCAAATATCAACTTTAATCTTCAAACATAAAACTTCTGATTCTAAAAAATAACATGTATAAATCATTGTTCTCTGTTCTCAAGCAGTCTTCAACCATAATACAATATCAATCAGTCTTTAATTTTCCAGCGATTACCATACTGCCTTGATAAGGACTCCCTCTAACTACAGAGGCAATAAAGCCAAAAAAGAAACTCTTCACATAGCACAGTAGTTAACAATGTTATAATCCAATAAATATGACCAAGATATTCAGAGTTCTCTTTATGAATTATTGTAGAAGTGCAAAACATTTCTGAATTTGAATTTATGAATGTATAAACTTCCCTGATTTCTTTATGGGACAGTGGCATGACACACTTGAAGTGCTAGCAAAGCCAGCTTTTTTCTTCTTTTTTTTTAAACAACATGTTCAAATAAAACCTCCCAGTGCTCAAACTGTTAAAGAATCATAATGCTATTAACTGGAAATTTTCCTCATCTACATAAGTATCAACATCAAACAGCTTGTCAAAGTCAAAAGCTCAGTCAAGACATAGTTCAATGTTGAAACTATCTGAAAGATGCTCATTGCCAACAGTATGTTTATGATGAATGAGGTCACTGCATGCATGTCACACGTTTCATCTTAGATAGTATGCACACCCTTCAGAGTACATAATGACGATAATGGCTGACAAAATCATGCCGAATTAGAAGCTGGCATCTCTGGAAAATTTTTATCACAGCTAATATATAACAGTTCAACTATAACCAGACACATCATAACCACACAAAATGTAGTGGGTTGTAAGTCAAATTCATTGCCACGAGGCACAATTTTACACACAGATGAACATGAGCCAAAAAATGCTTTGTTATTTCTTCATTCATTATAATTCTTCCTCTCCACCCAATTGACTTTCTACACTAAATGCAATTCTTATAATGGCCTTTTCTCAAATTTTCATTAAACCTTTAAAAAAAATTAAAGTGATGGTCAAGTGTACACTTTAATAATCTTGACTGCAAAGAAACAACTCAGAAAACAACGCCTCATTATTTTCTAAATAGAGCTGCCTTGAATACAATTTAAGATGATTAAAAAGCCTTGCAGATACAGGCCACAGAAAAGCATACTACATTAAAATCAATTTCGACAAGGTTAATGTTAACATGCTGGTTTGCAGTTTTTGTAACAGCTATAAAACGCATAACTGAAAAATTAGAAGTACAGGAAAAGTCTTTCAACACAAAAGTAAATGATGGGAGCCAAACAGAAGGAAGCCACAAAAAAAAATAAATACAGTGCTACAAGAAAATAAACCAAACATTTCCATGGGGTCAGTTCTTCAACTTCATAACTGCTGCCAAGAACAACTGGGGCAAATGAAGAATAACAAAAACCAAAAAAATTTGAAACTTTGTAACTTTGAAAATGGGTAGAGGAAAGGACAAAGATAGGATACAAAAACTCTGTGCACAATATTTCAAAACAACCCAGGAAAAATGAGGATAAATAAATATTTTATTCTAAAGATAATAAGGTTTGAAGGCTTCACACACAGACAGCACACACAAAGCAATGCTACCAAAGAATCTCATGCCTCATTCTGAAATTTTGAGCAGATTTTGTGCAGTAAAATTTTTACTGAGGTAAGATTAACAGCAGTTTAGCCATAAATAAAATCAAGTTTGCTCAAAATGAAATGCAAGGTAAATAAAAGACATAAAAGCCAACAGATTTAAATTTTGAACTTCATTTTACAGAGTAAGCCAATGCCATTTGTTGTACAACATTCATCTTGTGTTACCTCCTTTTCCACACCAGAAGACCGCTTAAACACAAAACAGAGATACCATTGCTGTATCAACATATTTACACATGTTTTTAAATAATAAGACCAATGGTGTTTCTGATATGTTCAAGGCATCACTGTCAGCAAAAAAGTTACAGCTTTTATTGAATTCAACATCAGAACAAGCTTAATAACTCCAAACACGGGCCCAATTTCTTATCACATCCTCCTTACTGTTCTCTCTTTTAACACTAAAATTAGCCAGATTTTTTATGCCAAGATTCACCTGTCATTCAAAGAACAGAAAAATACCCAAACACCATTCAAGTATAAGTCTAGATCCTAACACAAAGAGCAGGTTCAAATGATCTTCCAATACTTTAAATTAGAAACAATATATCTGCAAGACCAAACACCAACCAAACTACAGCAACCAACCCAAAGTTGGAGAAATAATAATTAAATCGGGAGCTTAGCAGAATGAAGCTTGATTACCAGCTAGTAGCATTATTCTACAACAGATGAGACTCAATAAAAGAGAGCACAGGTTACGCAAATGAACTAAAGAAACAAAATATGTGAGTCACTGAATACTTTTCATAGGCACAAGTTTATTAGTATAGCAAGAAAAGACAGTTGCCTCAACAAGCTACTATTCTTTTTATTTATTACGCCCTATGCACAGATGATAAATTCTCGAACAAATAAAATCCCATGACCTACTTCCCCACCCTATTTCAACCTCTTTCCAAACCATAAAGCACTAAGCAGAAGCTAATGCACCTTCTGTGTAGCCAAACCTTGCAGACTACTCAGTTGCTGATGTTTACCACAAGCTAGTATATATGTAGATACCACAACTTAATATAAAAATGACTTCTATATAAATCAGAGACGCTGGTGATGATACATTCTGAGGTAAAAAGTACACGTATATGGGATACACACAAATAATATTGATACGCTTTTGACATCTCTTGTGAAGCCAATTTTATGACTGCAACGGAGTTTTGCAAGTTACACACTACAGAGAAATGATCATTAGACACACCGTGAGGCTATCACTTCTCAGAGAGTCAGCTTACCGTCAGCCTGAAAACATTGTCCAGGAAGGTCTGATGGGTCTCAGCCACACAACGAGTTTGTTGGAAGACAATCTTGAGAAGTTCGTTCAGATACTTTGGTTGAACATGGTTCACCATTGAATCCAGTTGTTGACCTGAACTGCTCGTGAGAAAGAACAAAAAAATCAATTTTCTTCATGTACTTCACTATCAAATACAAGTGGCTCACACTGATGATGAAACCTGTGTGACACATCGGGCATTAATATACGCTAAATGAATGGCACAAGTCAAGTGTACCTCAAGAAACATATTTGATCTAAGCTAATTATTCATTGATAGTCAAACAGGAACTGTATGACTTTCCAAACAACACTGAATAAGAGATCTAACCAATCAAACCAGAGCAGAATAAACAATGCCATCCACTGAGTTTCCAAAACAGACAACTTACTTTCACACAAAGAGACAATACTAAGGAGTAAAAATAGCAGATAATTTTCTCTCACAAAAACGAGTTTACTATGGTGATAAGGTAACTGCACAAACAGCACTATTTTGCTTGAATTAACACTCACCTCAAATTTCAAACATGAACAGACTATTGCAGGAAGCAAAGATAGTAATACAAATACAATTGTCTCCGCTAAGACCCTGGTGCTCGGAAAAATGGAAAATACGGGATCTTAGGCAAACGGGATTTTAGCCGATGCACAAAGAGAAGAAACTACGGTGACCCATGTTAAGGCACACAACCTGAACAACCGGTAAAATGGTCTCCCTTCACTCTAAAATGAACTGACATGACCCCTGGGTGGAATTCGAGCAAAGAGTGGTCAACCTTGATGACCAATCACAGGGGCATGAGGCATGCCATTTTCACTTATTATCCTATTGTGATTCTCCAAGATCTACGCTTATCCAGTTGCCCCTCCCCTTCACCTGTCCAAAATTTATAGCTTTTCATCTCTGACCGAGTCCCCCCCCTCCCCCCCCCTTGCGCCTTTGTTGTTATGCACCATTACGTTGTGACCACACCAATTAAAATTCAGTATGTCTCCAAAATTCGGAAGTACAGACAGCTGCTGCAATGGTCAGAGAAGAGTTCACAGTTCAATGCGATCCCGCCTGGAGCGAAGTGGTGTAAGTTTAGGTGGAAAGCTCAGATGAGAGTGCGATGTTTGAGGAAAACAAAAGCGTTGGTCGGTTCACACCTCATTGTGATCCCTTCGGGGTAAACATTGTACTGTTTCATCGAGTTTTACAAAGCTTAATTGATCATATTCATGAGAGTGGCTGATCTTTGACGTGATGGGCAGTTCAATGATCTCAACTTTTCACTCTTGATTGAACAACTGTGTCCGTCCGATTTTTGTTCTGTAAATTATGATCTTAAATGAGGGATCTTAGCCGAATGTGGACCTTCAGAGTGAATCCAAGCGGGATCTTAGGGGTGACTTTTATATATGTATACAGTCGAACCTGTGTAAGACGGAATCGCAAGGGAGCGGGTTAAAAATTCCGTCTTAGACAGGGGAATTTAGGGGGGGGTACAAAGACCCAGCCGGTGAGATCAAGGATCGCTTGTCTGATCGGCAAGCAGTGGTCAAAACTTCACACCTCTCAGCTGCTATCCTGTCTGATAGTAACATGCGTCAGTCTTACTTATCCAATTACCACCAGTGCTTGCCTTTCATAGGACCACTGTTAGACCTATTAAAAACAGAAACGTTTGAACACCTCCTTTGCTTCCACCCTTAGTCCCACCCACCAATGCCACCCCTCACTGTCATCATTGTAACAACGATTCGAGGAACTCTTTTCTCAGCAGGCCGTACGATCAGGGCGGCAGGCATTGGTCAATCTAATTTCACACCTCTGGCTTCTGGCTACTCAGGAAAGTTTCCGTAGTGGCTGGCTACTCGAGCACTCTCACGGGCAGTCGTGAGATATCACACCCACACTACACTGACCATTTGTAGCGCTCAGTGCTCACATGATGGGGTAACATAGGGTAACTTCTACTCTACCCCCATTGCACCCCTACTCCCCTTCCTCGCCCAGTGGCATGGCCACGGCGTTAAATTTAGAGCCGGCGGAATCAAACTTGCGAGTTTTGTTTCAAATCAGAGCTGAGTGGGCAAAGCATTTTCCGTCTTTGACAGGTGAAACCCTCAGAAGGGAGCAGATTTTTCTTTCCGTTTCCGCGTTAGACAGATTTCCGTTTTATACAGGTAATTAAAGAGGAATATATCAGGGGGGGGCGGGGAGATTCCGTAAAGACAGGTTTCCGTTTTACACAGGTTTCCGTTAAGGCAGGTTCGAATGTATATAGTAAAAATTCTGTTTTCTTAAAACAGCGGGATCTTAAGTGAACCAGGATGGTAAGCGGTGGGATCTTAGGAGGAGACTATTGCATGTCATCAAAGCTCATGCAACTGACTATTGCATGTCATCAAAGCTCATGCAACTGTCCTCAATAAAAAAGTTATTAGGTAGCAATAAGCCTGGAAACCATCATGTAGTGGTTTTTTAGCTGCTATACAGGAAGACATTATTTGGAAAGTACTCTTCGGTGCTTCAAACTGGAAAAAATAACAAGCCGTTCTTTACTGAAAGAATGCATTCATCAGGTCTGTGAGTACCACTAGCAGACTACAGTTTATATGTATTATAAAAGCACAGAAACATTCCTTAGGTAAAGAATAATTTTCTGCTAACAAATTCAAAATCACATAATCATAACTTCTGATTTTGTTCAGCTTACCTCTCTGCAACTTGCTGAGTGGCTGTATTTATCAGCTTGTTTAGGCTTCCTTTCATCCCCAATTTCAACCTCTGAAATACAAAATGTATAAATAAATGACACCAATCAGGATCATGGTGAAAACAGCAACATGTGCTGGAAACTGATGAACAAATTTCAAACCACAACCCGATTTCATATTCATAGCAATCAAACTGTGATGATATTTTTCCAGCATAAAACTATGCAACTGTGAGAGACAAACATATTTTCATTAAGGCTGGATTTTCAAAAATTACAAATTCCCATTAGTCTTAAGCTGCTGAATATGACACCACAATAAAGACTGAATATCAAAAGCATTCATTATATCACAATAACACCTGAAGAGCATTTGAATGCTGAGGGGCAAAAAATGATATAACAAACCAGCCATTTCTATAGTAATCTGTTTTGCAGGGACAAATGCACCAATACACTGTGGACCATGTCTTCATGTCCACAGGGAACAAATCACTGGATTTCAATTTATAGGAAACACAACAAAGGAAAAACATTATAAGATTTCAAAGCCTACCTCCACAGCATCTGGCAGTTTGCGGAGGACAAACAAGGACTCTGTGAGAATAGCCACAAAATTCTTCAAGTTCTCTTCAGGATTGCTGTTCAGATCCTCCTTCACTTCAAAGTATGTTTTATTTACAGATGATTCAGTCCCGTCTGTTTCTAGAAAGAAGCAATAGAAGAATTATGTACCTTCTGAGGCTCACGTTTGCTCATAATCATTCTGAAGTGACTGACAACACAAATATACTGACTTTTCAAAAGATTTGTACTCATGTGTGCAAGATTTATTCGTGGATAAATAGAAGTCCTCACAGAAGGCCACAAAAGCCAACAATGAAGTCTACCAAGACAAGAATGGAGTTGGGAAGGACACAAGTTTACTTTTTGTGACCCATAACATATTAGCACAACAAATGAGATTGCTTATTTGTGTTGCTCCTGCTAACATTTTCCAAAGCCAATGAGTTGTTGAGTCAAGCTTTACTGCTATTAAGCATGATGAATGATACATTATGTATCACGTAAAAACTGATTGAGGTAATAAAAATAATGACAAGAAGTAGAAGGAGTCGACCACTCTGCATCCCTCTCCCAACTTCTGACTGCAATTTGTCAAATGTAGTCTCACTTTATGTGACTGAAAAGCAATACACTACAGCACTACTATAATGACAAGCACAAAAGGTAACCCCTAAATCTAACTCTCCTGTAGAAATAAAAAAACCTGAAAATCATTTGCATAAACAATAACAAACAAAAAAAAGCTGAGACAAAACTCACTTGGTGCTCTTTTAGGGGAATCCAAGCCATCAGACCAGCCCCAAACACTGGCATCTTTACGACTCAATCTCATCTGGCTGCCTCTATGCATGCTGGAAGTTGGCAGTGAGCGCTCGTAGATCTGCTTTGTTAACTCATCTATCAGAGTCTCGTGCATTTTCTATGGAGAAATATTGTTCTTATTGAAGTCTTGCACTACTGAAGGTAACCAATTACCCAACACTATTGCAGGTCACTGCAGAGCAGCATTCTTTGACCCTGGGGTAGTATATCATGCACACAAAATAAAACAACAATGACCTCTCTTAATAATATAGTCAGTGCTCAAAACTGATTGGGGTTTTTTTATGGTCGCAGCATAAACTTTCTACAAATCACTACTCTGCATTCTTAAATATACTTCAATTCTCTCTTACTACTTCATATTTTAGGAAATAACAAGGAGTCTCTCGAACTGCCCTGTCATAAAAGACAACAAACTAAGTTGATTTAATAGCATGTATTAATAAAAAGACAGCAATGCCTAGCTGTGAACTGAAAAACATAAATACTAACTCTCCTGCAAATTTACAATATCAGAAAGAGCTGTTAACATTAGCAATTTAGTGTTATAGGAGCCTCTCAGAGAAAGCCAGGCCTCCTAAACTTATTACACAATTGCTCAAAAGAGATGTTGTCAACACCAACAAAAAGCAGGGCGTACACAGTCTCAAGAATACAAGAAACAAAGCAGGATGATGACATTTAAAAACTTACTTCCAAAGTACTGAGAAAACCACGCAAACACATTTCTACTAAAAAGAATGTAAAACTCACCAGCATTAAAATTAAAAACTCACTTCTCGAATATTGACAAGATCAATCTTGACCTCTCTCAGAGCTTCTATTCCATTCAAGGGGCCTTCAAGCTTTGCAACTTTTGTATGGAGAAAAGAAAGCAAAATGAAAATGGCAGTGATATCATTTAAACATTTTTCTCTCTAAATTTTGCTTCTCTCAATCATAAAAGACCATCATCAAGAAACGAGGATGATATCCAAATTGGCACAACATCAAATTGTGAAGTGTATAGAGCCTACTTTCAAGTAAAGATAAGTTCTATAAAAATGCAATCTAAACTCATTATCAATTATTATCATAATGGTACTGCAGAAAGAAGTTTGTTGCACAAAACTTAGCAGCTAGAAGAATAAAAAAAAGTCCTAAAGTATCAACAGTAAAAGAGCACTTGAACATAGTATCCCAATCTCTGAATAGAAATTCAAACCTATTTGTTCTCCTACAAATATATTCAAAACTAGTATCAAAAGCAAATTCTGAAACCGAAATAGAAAAAAAAAACCCACTTGTAAATGTGATAAAAGCTCACCTGCTTGCACAATGGTATCAGTAGCATGCAGGTAGTGTTTGTTTGCAATTAAAGTGTTCATCTTGTCTTGAACTTCTTTGATTTGCTCACTGTAACAAAAAAGAGGTTTATTACATTCATTTGAGGGGAGCTATATTCCATCTTAAGTCTTAATGACAAAGTATAAAAGATCACACAATCCACTTGCTAGTTATTATGAACATCAGAAAGTGATACAGTGAATGATTATATTTCCAAATGTGACACGAGAGGTATACCTCAACATTGAACTATATATCATAACTTTATGCAAATAAGAATATCAAGTTCAAAGCAATCAGCACAATAAACTTCTTGACTGTTCAAACATTATTCTGAAACTTTGTAAACGACTCATCTTTTCCCTTTCAGTAAGTGTGCATTACACTATGAAATAATTTACACCATAATAATTTACACCTTTCACCATTAGCCATAAAAGACAAATAGTTAAGATTATTTCTTCACTATTAAAACATCATTATTTCATCTTTGAGTTCACTTTCAGGCAGCTAACATTACATCTTTAATGTTAAAACACCCTTGCGAACACCTCAAATTGAAAACAACAAACCATTCAAAGAATGAAAGACTAAATCTACAAAACACAACTTAGAGCACAAATAAACTTACACTTGTTCCAGCATAGACAACACAGCTTTATGCTCCACTCCATCTTTCCACAGTTTACGCAGTTCATCACGCTTGAAGTGCAAAAGTGTCTTGCAGGAATTCAAGTCTTCCTTAATCTTTCTAATCTTGTCCCTTGATTCTGTTGTGAGTATCAATACCAAAAACATCTATCAGAAGCAGTAACACTAACTAATTCAAAAATACATGTACATGGTGTTCATAAATCAAAGGTACTAAATCTGTACAAGATATAAAAAGAACACTGCTTGCTGTGTATGAATTTGCAAAATTGAGCAGTGTTTCTTCCCTTATTAGACTTTGGCAATGCTCTACTTGGTCATTTCAAACATATCACTCCTTGTGTTGGAGCAAGTGATGATTTTTTGATGTGACACATAGCATTGTTATCATTTTTTTTATACTTCATATTGAAATTCTTTTTTGAAAGTAACATACAACTTAAATTCTACGTAAATTTACATGTGTCTTTACCATTTGTGTGGAGCCATACAAAATTTCCCCCGGGGGCAAAAAAGTAGTTTTACCTCTTAAAACTACACCTAACATTTTGAAAATATTTTTCTGTTCAATATAATTATATCTATGTACACATTTTACTTAATCTATGTATACTGAACAATTACAAATTTCAACAGATAATGAAATCAAAATGCAAAAAACCTCACAACAACACTGTTGACCATATGAGGTTTCTAGGAGACTTTCTCTTTTAAGGTTGTTGTTGTTGTTGTTAGCGATCCAGTAGCATCTGAGCATTACCTCTTCTGCATGATGCCATTCGGTAATAGCTGCATGTCTGTTCAAATTGTTGTCTTGAGGATTAGAGGCAATTAGATGTGTGGGGTAGCTTGGGAAGAAAACATCCCCTTAAATCAGTTAGTTTTCTACACAAGAACAGATGATGTTCCACTGTCTCTCAGGGGTAGTCACATAGTGGGCAGGCAGCAGACTGCTTTACTCCAATTCGGTTGAGAAGTTGGTTGAGGGGTACATGTTGTGTTCTAAGTTGGAAGATTATGGATGAATCTCCCCTCTTCAACTCATTGATAGGCTCTTTGAACAGTGGTTTATTCATGTGGCCATACATCATCCTTCCTGTCGTACCTGTGGCCCAATCATTTATCCAGTCTTCCTTGAGGTTTGACCCGATCATTTGGCAGCAGGTGGTGTAATCAGTGGGAATTTCAGGCTGAGGGAGGCTAGCTCCTTTCTTTGCTAGAGCATCAGCTCTTTCATTTCCCGGTTCTCTTTTAAGGTAAACATATGGATTAATATATTCTTAAAAAACAACAACTTAAATGATTCACACATAATAAAACAGGGGTAACTTACCATTTATACTTTTCGTCATGCCATTAAAGGACTGAAGAATCTTAGTCACATCTTGGTAGTTCTCTGTAGGTATAAAAAGTATATTTTAAAAAGACATGTATGATGTTTTATTTAGCAAATACTCAATGTTGCTGTTGCTTACATCTTACAGAGCTGTTTAGTTGTTCACTTCTTTTCAGCTAACACTTGCTAAGCTGATGAATGCTCATGTCTGCCATAGGATACTCTAGGTTGAATCTATTCACATCTTCAGACTTATTCAAGTTTAGTCCATAAACTGGAAGGTTAGACCTTGGTCCTTTCTATATATAGCTTACTATAAAAAGACTTTAAACTGCAATAAAAGCATAGCCGGTTCCCCAGGTTGTCCACCTGTTTAGCCATTATCAGATCCAACTTGGATAACAAAAAAAAGAAGAAAAAAAAAAGAAAAGAAAACAGAAAACTAACAAGTTGTACCACTATAGTGTGACCTCAGTGCTTTCTTGTCGTATCTCTGGGTTTTTTAACATTGAAAATGTGACTTCTTCTAAAGCTCATTCTTTGTTACGAACTGTTTTCACTGGTTCAAAAAATGGAGATGCGACAAGAAAGCACTGAGGTTGCGATAGCACAAATCAAAGCCATAAATAAATCAGTCTATTGTGCATGAAATAGACTCAAGATTTTTATAATCTATTGATATTACTCCTGAACAGTAGACGTCTAGTTGAGTTCTCTCTTTGTAACTTATTTGACCTACTCTACACTATACACATGCAGGGTCTCTACTCTCTGTGGAGCTAACATGGGGGTAGCCATGATGTCATGCACAAAAGACAATGTGGAGTCTGCTTTAAACCAAAATCAGCGGGACAGTCAGATTTTCTTCAGTTTAGCCCCGTTTTCCATTTACAGAGATTGCTCAGATACGGAGGAAAAAAATCATGGATTTTATTTTCTTTAGATGCACCATTGTTTTCCGATTAACCATCTTCAGTTTAAGCGGACTCCACTGCATTAAAGAAGGGAGACCACAGTCTGACCTTTACCTTCTTGCACTCCAACACACATGTATTGGTAACCAGTCCAAAGATCTTCTGTACAGCTACACAAGTAAAAGAAGTTTGGTGCAAAACGCTTACCTGCAACTAATTCACCAAGAAGCTTGTCACTATTGATGTACGCTTTTTCAATTCTCGTCTTTTCCTTTTCTCTTTGTTCAAAATCAGCACTGAAAAGTAAATAAATACAATACATTGTATTCTTCTATAAGAACATAAAACCATGCTCTTTTAGATGTTAACAATGGCACTGAACCATGCAAACTTAAAACAGGGTGGCTCTCGTGGCCTAGAGGTTAAGGTGTTTGCCTCTCATTCAAAGGTCCCAGGTTTGAATCCGGACAGCGACCGAAATATTTTCTTCTCTAAAATGCCTCCATTCACCTTCTTTCCTGCTCTCTAGCAATGTTCTGTCATCTGCTTTCGTCTCCACTTTCTGCCCCTACCCCCTTTGCCCCCTCCTCTGGGCTTCTGACTCTTTCGGCAGCCTTTCTACTGCTACTTCTTGGCTCCTTCTTACCGCTGTCTTTCAGCCACATCCTTGATCTTCTGGTAGGAAAGATCTACACCTAGCCCTCTTGGACAAGGGCGAAAAATCTCTGAGGTCCCGAGTGCAAGTTGCGCACGTTAAAGATCCCTTGGTGGTCTAAAATCAATAAGAATAGGCTTCGGACGATAGGCTGCTGATAATAATCTTCTAACTGGAACACATCCCCCCCCCCCCCCCCGAACCACACATACACAAGTTACATAATTCATGACTATACAATAAAAAAAATAAGAGAGTGATTTTAAAATTCCTTAAAAGTAAAGCAAAAAGCTTATTATATAAATAAAAACTTATCAGGAGTTTAAAATTGAAACAATAAAAATAATCATTATTTTCCTCAGAAGTTTTATAATATTTTTCAAGTTATCTGTAAAGAAATTCGTGTGTTTATCTTACCTTGATGAAAGCGTGGTAATTATTGACATCAAATACGCTGACTGGAAAAAGAGAAAAGAATACAAAAAAATTACAATTTCAGTTCACGACAACGATGTATGACATAGAATTTAAAACTTTCACACGGGATGAGAGAATTTAGCACTATTGGACCTTATTCCCATTATAAAGGTGCTGAAGAAATGGAGAAAGAGTTTTTCGAGACAGTATGCCCTTTCTCTGACGTCTGTTAAAAGAAAGTGAAAGCAAGCCTCAGCCAACTGGCTAAATATGTGAGATTTGGCAAAGTGTAGGCCATCATAATAATATAAAAATACAGCTGAAACTGTCAAAGATGGCCACCACCTGTCTAGGAGAAAAGTGGCTGTTGTAGACAGGTGGCCATCTTACACAGTGTCATTACAATGTAACAAAAACACAAGGGGGAATGGGAGCCTTTGGTATCTATAGAGGAGATTGTCTTTTGCTTTTACACAGCAGGTATACACTGAACAGCTCTTCCAGAGAAACAGCGTCAATTACTGCTGGGTCGAAGATGACCAAGATATCCAAGAGCTTACAATTGTTGCAACTATGGGTCTTCCCTAGTATAGGCCTACAGAAGACAGAGACTTCTATGTAGTTACTGGAGACACTGTAGTAGTTGTGTAGGCACTGTGACAAAGTCTATATAAGCTTACTACCTTTTAGTCTAGACTTAGAAGAGCTCCGGATTAGCCAGCTTGATCTGGTAGCAGTGAACAAACCATACTTATGGCATGGACTAATAATGACATGACTACTGGGTAGCCTAATCTTCCAGATCTGGATGTTTTAGTTTCATGCTCATCATCATCAGTAGTTTTTTAATTTATTAACGTTTGCTGAAAATTGCTGTGCTAGACTCCGAAGTTACAGTTAAGGTATAGGCATTGTAGGGAGAAGACGACAGTAACCCTTATTAAATCCCTACCCTCGACCAACCTTGTAGGTTGATAAAACATGAAGCTACAGCGAGCACCAAGCACACCTCTGTGATTGGCCCAAATATAGATGACGTATTTCCACCATCTATTTTTGTCGTCTTTCAGGGCTTCCCTTGGCAGTTAGATCTCACCGTGGCGGGCCTGCTTTGATGCTTAGCGCGCGATCGGTTACTATATACTAAAGATTCTCTACTACTGTGTGTGTGTGTGTGTGTGCGTGTGTGTGTGTGTGTGCGTACACATTTGTGAGTGTTATTGTGTGTACAACTTTGAGGAGAAGGTAAATTTATGGAACCAGAATTGCTAAGATTGTTTTTTAAAAAAGATAAACACGGCGAGATCTAGTCAAGAGCATTACTGGCAAGGGAAACCCAAGAGTCTTGGGGGGGAACCCCGGAAGATGACAAAAATAAATGACGGAAATGCGTCATCTATATTTGGGCCTCTGTGATTGGCTCAAATATGGATGATATATTTCCGCCATCTATTTTTGTCGTCTTCCGGGGCTTCCCTTGCCAGCTTGATCTCACAGCGGCGAGCCCACTTTGTGGGCGATGGACTATGTCACTAGGTTTCATCGCCGACTGCTTGGGCTGTGTGTGCACGCTTGAGTGAGTGTGTGTGCATGCGCATGTCTGTGTGTGCGTGTGTGTGCGCGTGCGTGCATAAAAGATAACACAAATTAATACACAAAAAAAAGCAACAAACAAACACGGCAAGATCTAGTCTAGTCAACAGTTACTGGCGAGGGAAACCTAAGAGTCTTGGGGAAACCCCAGAAGACAACAATAACAGATGGCGGAAATACGTCATGAGTCATGCATCTACATTTGGGCCAATCACAGAGGTGTGCCAGGTGCTCGCTGCAGCTTCATGTATAAATAACTAAATCGAGAGTTCCGCATAAGTCAGTTTAAAACCAAACACTTAACACAGCATAGTCACAGCAAATCAAATTATCAATGTCAGTTATTGAATAAATGGCAATCATAATGGTGAATAATAATACGAGGACGGAGGCCTACCCTACCCTACTCCTACACGGACGGTGTTGTGTTGTGCCTACACAGTAGCGACAGCCAACGTGAAAATCAGGAAGATTGCCGAGTTATGACTTGTGAAAGAAGAAAATGCAATACTGCCACAATTATATATAATTCAGGAAGTACAATATGTATCCTACACTTTACTAATCTTATGTCACAAACCGATTCTTTGCCACTTGGACTCTGGTATTGAGAAGGCGTTTTCGGTTCATCCATGGCCGCCATCTTGGACGAAGCTTCCTCCTGCTATTTTTTTCTTCCTACGGTTTGTTTGGATACATTGTCATCAAGAGTGTTTCCCCCTGGCTGAAGGAAATGGAAAGGAGGCGGGGTCAGGTCGACGCCTTTGGGGAACGCCCATTTTACAACGGTCTTTCCACAATCGTTTTCACCAGGACAAAACTAAACGATTTTAGGAATTCCCACCTTAACTATGTCATACTTTACCCAGATCCCTTTACTGCTCTATAACCGTCTGACATTATAATTTATAATTTTGGAAAATATAATAGGGCCTAATAATAAAAGCTCGTCCGTCAATATCTGACCAGAACTCTCTGGTGTGACGATAAGCAATACGCCCGAAGAGGAGAATAATGTCTCCAGCGAAATAGACGAATTTGAAGAAGTAAAGGTTAAGATGGCGTGTGGCTTCTACTGTGGTGACAATGGGTGACATTGGACAAATTCTTCAAACCTAGATTTTTTAGGGACTGAAACGTCATTACAATGTGGGCAATAAATTCAGCAAAAGTGGGTGTATATTGCATTTTTCAAAAAGTGAGACTCTTATAACTTTTCAATCGTGACTGCAGCTTTCTTGGGGGGAGGGGGGGTTGCTCTATTTGTTTTGTTTTCCTTATAAAGACTCACAATTGAAGGCATATAATAATATTAAACATATACAGTCGAAATTGTCTGAGGCAGTCACCCATTGCCGAAGAGAAGTTAAGTGGCCGTCTTATATAGGTGGCTGCCTTACACATTATAATATCGTTTTTAAAGACTGCAAAGGGGGAAGGAGGGATTAGAAGTAGCCGTTTGTACATTTAAATGTCTTTTATGCAGGTGGCAGTTACAGCAGGATAGACTGAACACACACACACACACACACACACACACACACACACACACACACACACACAAACAAACAAACACACACACACACACACACATACACAAGCACGCACGCACACGCAGGCTTACAATCACACGCATAATATAAATGAGAAGCAATATAAACAATACTTATCTTAAGCTAGCTATACATACTCAATGTTATTTTGATGCATGTTCTAAGGTCTAATGAAGCGCTTATTCGGTGTCGCACGCAGGAGACCCGAGTTCAGTTCATGAGTGGGGAGGAAATTTTGCATCAAGTATAACATAATATTATCTCGGCCTTTCTGCTGGGATGCTGTATCCTTCTCAGTCCGTGTTGGCCCTGACAGGCAGGGTCGAAAGATAGTAGATAGCACTGAAATACAGCTGTAATTATTGTCCTTTAAAAAAAATCCACTCCTAGTCCTGTAAAAGCAAATACAATGTAGTAGAAATAAGCATGAAATATTAAAATCGGTTCAAAGTTATTTTTCAGCGCTTTGGCCCGAGGTGTTGATTCAGCAAAGTCATTTTAAAAAATTGCCTTTGATATCGACTGACTTGTAGTCAGCTGTTCAAGCTATATTACAAGCTATCCACCATATTTTCTTTGAAGTTCTTGACAATGTCGACGAGTCTTCTCGGGACTAAAAACTGCTTAATTTTGCTGAGAGCTGCGCGAAGGCCTCTTGATTCATACTCATGGCAGGAGTTGCTAGGTGTGCATGTTATCAGGAACTTACGAGTACAATAAATAGGTCTAGTACATGTACAGCGAGCACTTGTTTTTTATCATCATCATCATCATCATCATCATCATCATCATCATCATCATCATCATCATCATCATCATCATCATCATCATCATCACCATCACCATCACCATCACCATCACCATCATCATCATTATCATCACTATTTTTATTATTATTATTATTATTATTATTATTATTATTATTATTATTATTATTATTATTATTATTATTATTATTATCATTATCATTATTATTATTATTATTATTATTATTATTATTATTATTATTATTATTATTATTATTATAGTTTATGTGTTCACAGCCTAGTAGGCCTACCATACTTACATCTCGTAACCCTGCTAGGTCGCAGTAAACAGAAATGAATGGGCTTTAGGACAAAGTGAACCACTGAAAGAGCATGTGTACAAAAATATGTAGATTAAACCACATGAAGAATATGGATTATTTTGAGGG